TACCCATCCACAACCCATTTTCAATGCCCTGGCTGAGGGAAGGAGGTTCTCACCCAAGATTTGATGGTACATGGCCCCGTCCATCGTCCCTTTGATGCGGTGAAGTTGTCCTGTCCCCTTAGCAGAAAAACACCCCCAAAGCATAATGTTTCCACCTCCATGTTTGACGGTGGGGATGGTGTTCTTGGGGTCATAGGCAGCATTCCTCCTCCTCCAAACACAGCGAGTTGAGTTGATGCCAAAGAGCTCCATTTTGGTCTCATCTGACCACAACACTTTCACCCAGTTCTCCTCTGAATCATTCAGATGTTCATTGGCAAACTTCAGACGGGCATGTATATGTGCTTTCTTGAGCAGGGGGACCATGCGGGCGCTGCAGGATTTCAGTGCTTCACGGAGTAGTGTGTTACCAATTGTTTTCTTGGTGACTATGGTCCCAGCTGCCTTGAGATCATTGACAAGATCCTCCCGTGTAGTTCTGGGCTGATTCCTCACCGTTCTCATGATCATTGCAACTCCACGAAGTGAGATCTTGCATGGAGCCCCAGGCAGAGGGAGATCGACAGTTATTTTGTGTTTCTTCCATTTGCGAATAATCGCACCGTTGTCACCTTCTCACCAAGCTGCTTGGCGATGGTCTTGTAGCCCATTCCAGCCTTGTGTAGGTCTACAATCTTGTCCCTGACATCCTTGGAGAGCTCTTTGGTCTTGGCCATGGTGGAGAGTTTGGAATCTGATTGATTGATTGCTTCTGTGGACAGGTGTCTTTTATACAGGTAACAAGATGAGATTAGGAGCACTCCCTTTAAGAGTGTGCTCCTAATCTCAGCTCGTTACCTGTATAAAAGACACCTGGGAGCCAGAAATCTTTCTGATTGAGAGGGGGTCAAATACTTATTTCCCTCATTAAAATGCAAATCAATTTATAACATTTTCGACATGCATTTTTCTGGATTTTTTTGTTGTTATTCTGTCTCTCACTGTTCAAATAAACCTACCATTAAAATGATAGACTGATCATTTCTTTGTCAGTGGGCAAACGTACAAAATCAGCAGGGGATCAAATACTTTTTTCCCCCTCACTGTAAGAGATCCATTCAAAAAGAGCTGTTCGTTCGCAAACAGCCCATCACTAGGCTACACTGACGAGTCAGTTTAGCGATCACTGGCAGGGTTCTGCACGGGCTTCGAATCCCAGGAAAATACAAATAAGATCTTTGGTTTACGATGCGATACCATGACTAGTAAAGGGATATAGGAGATTGACTTTATTCAGTCAGTTCGACACCTTTTTATAAGCTAATCAACACAAGCTGTTCGGTCCTCAATTACATTTACAAAAGAACAGTAAATAGCCTATGCGCCCCGACTTCGTGGCTGGCTATTGGGCTTTGAAACACGCAAAATAAAATAGATGAATGTGCCACAAAACAACAATGAAGTGGATTTCAACTCGTCATTACATTACATTACATTACATTACATTACATTACATTACATGGGACGTGTCAATTCACTCGCAGTAGACGATGAAAAAGCATCATGCTCTCCCTCCGTGAAAATACATTTGACTGCAGCCCAATCACAGCGCACAAAAATTACACAGGTAGGCTACAGAGGCCGGACCAAACAGCAGGCTGACGAACCAGCAGTGTTTCTCATCACTCGCTTTGTGACTGACAGGCGCCCTGTCCTATCAATAGATCTCTAAGAGATGCATATCGTCCATTCTAGCGGGAGAAGGCTATACAGACATTTCTGACTAGCGAATGTAAACTTTTAAATGAAAAGAAGCCTAGTAATTCATGAAGTGGTGCTTATGTAAAACACTGACAGTGCAGATGCTCCGTTTGGTAACAGAATGACGCCACCAACAGCACAAACCGTGATTCTGCTACCAAACTTTGCATCTGCACTGTTCTTCAAGTAAATGTGATTTTGTAAAATGTTCAGTGTAAATTGTTAAAAGTAGTCCTTGTGCATAGAGTTGTATGGTTTGTTTAACTTTGCAATCATTGGTTTTTGTTTGACATATATTTTAGTCTCAGCGTCATTCTGTTGACGTGGAATTGCCCCACACACAAACACGCACACAGACACGCACACAGACACGCACACAGACACGCACACAGACACACACACAGACACGCACACAGACACACACACAGACACACACACAGACACACACAGACACGCACACAGACACCCACACACGACACGAACACACACAACACGCACACAGACACACACACAGACACACACAACGCACACAGACACGCACACAGACACGCACACAGACACGCACACAGACACGCACACCAGAGACAAAAGCCAAAATGTGCGCCAACATACAGGCAAACAAAAAACAGAGAATGTGTGTCTCCATAGGTAACAGAAGTAAGTACCCCAGATAGAAGGTAGTAATTGTCACATGTCGCCAGTATATAAGTTTAGATGTTTAGCTGAGAGAGGAGGCCTCCAAGGGATCCATTCACACAGATGTCTGGAGTACATTCGCTCTCTGTTACCCCTCTCTCTGTCCCTCTATCATCTCCTCTATGTCCCCCCCTCTCTCTGTCCTCTATCCACTCTCTCTGTCCCTCTCTTGTCACCTCTCTGTCCTACCTGTCCACTCTCTCTGTCCCTCTCTCTGTCCCTCTCTCTGTCCCTACCTATCCATCTCTCTCTCTGTCCCTCTCTCTGTCCCTCTCTCTGTCCTCTATCATCCTCTCTCTTCCTCTCGTCCCTCTCCTCTGTCCTCCTCTGTCCCTCTCCTGTCCCTACCTATCCATCTCTCTTCTCTCTTCTCTGCTCGTCCTCTCTCTGTCCCTACCTATCCATCTCTTTTCCTCTTCTCCGCTCTCTGTCCTACTACCTACTCTCTGTCCTCTTTCCTATTTCCCACCCCTTCTCTCGTCCCTTCTGTCTACTATCCATCTTCTCTCTGTCCTCTATTCCTCCTAACTCTCTCACTTCACATTCTCTCTGTCCCTCTCTCGTCCCTATCCCATCTCTCTCTGTCCCACTATCCATTCTTACTTCTTCCTCTCTCTGTCCCTACCTATCGATTCCTCTGCTCCGCCCTCTCCTCTCCTCTTGTCCTCCTTCACTTCCATCATCTCTCTCGTCCTCTTGCCTCTCTCTGTCCCACCTACCATCTCTCTCTCCTCCTTTCCCCCCCAAAAACGTGCTCTCTGTGGACTATACAACTGTCTAATGCACTAAGGCCAACGCTGCTCTTTTTCAGCCATTCTCTATCTTTCTAATTTCTCTCTATCTGTCCTCTCATTCTCTCTTATCCTCATGTCCCACATAGCAACTAGACTCCAGTCTCTCTAGACTACCACCCTCATCTGTTTTGTATTGTGTTAATAAAATGTAATCTATAACCTATATTTTTGTTAAATAAAAATTTTGGGGGAATAAGGCTAAAATTTGTTCTCATTTTCCCACGGGAAACCCTTAATCTTTTGGGGGGGGAAATGATCCCAAAACCAAAGGCCTCTCTCTGTCCCTACAACCTCTTTTTTTTTCCCCCTCTTTCCTCCTACCACTTCCCTTTCCCTTTCCTCTCTGTCCCCTTCCTTCCCCCCTCCACCTTCCCTTTCTTTTCTTCCCCCCTTTCCCCTACCTACCTTCCCCTTTTTCTTTTTTCCCTCTTCCCTCCCATCCATCTCTCTCTTTCCCCTCTTCCCCCCCCAAAACATCTTTTTTTGGGTTTCAAATGTTGTGACTAAGACCCTTTTTTTTTCCCAACTCTTTTTGACTTTTTTTTAAATTTTCTTTTAGTTTTTCTCTTCAGTTTTCTTCTTTTCATGGCTACGACGGGAGCGTGGAGAGGGACCCAAAAACAGAGTGAAAAACTTTTGGCAGCGCCCAATTTTGGGTTGTTTTTGTGTAAAAAGGGAAAAATTGGATCTTAATTTTTTTTTTCCCTTTGGATCCAATGGATGTGGGTTGGTTGAAGGGAGGACTGAGAGGTGGATGTTTGGTCGGCAGTCTTTCCCCCTGATGACGCATGTAATCTCTGGCTGTGGCAGGACTGAGTGCCCAAAGGGGGCCAAAAACTTACCATGCACTCCACTTTTCGCCATTCCTACCTTTTTCCCTTCTCCCTTTCCCTCCCTTTCCTCGCACCCCAGACAACCCCAGGATTTTACCAATGGGCCCTCCCATTAGTTCAAAAACCCTTCTCGTCCAAACTTTCGCCCCCCGCCCCAGGGAAAAGGAGAGGACCCCAAAAAAGAGAAACCAAGAAAAAGGGGGGGGGGGGCATAGAGAGGGAGAGGGGGGGGGGAAGAGAGGGGGGGGGGGCATAAGAGGGAGGGGGGGGGGGGGGGGGAATTGAAAGGGGGGGGGAAGAGAGGGGGGGGAGAGGGGGAGGGGGAAAAAAGAGGGAAAAGAGGAAAATAGAGGAGGAAAAGGGGGGCTAGGTGGGAAGAAAGGGATAGAGGGGAATGAAGAAGGGGGGGAGAAGGGGACGGGTTTCTTATCAGAGGGGGTTTTGTTTAAGATGAGGGAGGGGAGAGGAGAGGGAGGGCATAGAGAGGAGATAGGGGAGAGGGGAAAAGAGAGGGAGGGGCCAATTTAAGAGGGAAGATAGTGCAGGAGAGCTTTTAAATAGGAGGGGATAGGGTTGGCCTCTCTAGGAGTATGTCCATCTCCGATGGGGCAACGAGAGGGGAGAGAAAGGGCCAGAGAAAGGGGAGGAAACCCGGGAAACGAGAGAGAGGGGGGGAAGGCATGAGGGGCGAGAGAAAGCCTAAAAGAGAGAGGGAGAGAAATTAAGCATGAAATGAGAAAGAAAGGGGGAGGAGAGTAAAGGGAAGAGAGAGGGAGGGGATAGGGGGGAAAGGGGCGAAGAAAGGGGAGGGCATAGAAAAAGAGAAGGGGAAGGGGATTCCGAAAGAGAAGGGGTTTCAGTTAAGGAGGGAGGAGCATAGATTGGGGGGGTTACCCAGAATCGATTGATGGAGTTGCCAAGATAATAAGGGGAATCATTAAAGAGAAGGAGGGTTGATATTGGGGATCATAGAGAAGGGGAGGGCAAAAGAAAAGAAGAAAAGGGGGGAAAAAAAAAAGGGGGAAGGGAAGAGAGCCCAGGAGGAGCCAGAGAGGTACCTCGTCTGAGGGAAGACGAGGTAAAGAGTAGAAGACCGAGAGGAGACGATAGAGAGAGATGGCGACGGGGAGAGCGAAGAGAGAGATGAGCAGAGAGGAAAGAGAGAAGAGGGGTGGAGAGAGAAGCCCAGAGAGGACACCGCAGGTCAGAGGAGGGGAAAGGAGAGATAGGGAGACGAGAGAGAGGAGAGAGAGAGAGAGAGAGAGGGGGGGAGGGCATAGGGCATAGAGAGAGAGGGAGGAGAGAGAAGAAGAGAGAGAGGAAGAAGGAGAGACCCCCGACCCCCCCCCATAGGAGAACATGAGTGGGAGGCACGGGGAAAGAAGGGAGGTGGTAAGCTGAAGACAAAGAGAGAGGGATGAAGGGGCGACAGGGACCTAGAGAAGGAAAAGGGGCGAAGAGATGAGGAGAGGAGGCGAGAGACGGGGGACGAGGGGAGGAGAGGGAGAAGAGAGACTGCGGCTGACCGTAGTTCAGAGAGATGAGAACAGCAGGGATCCCCTCCCAAGAGGAGCAGAGAGAGAGCAGAGAGAGAGGGGGGAGGGGAAAAGGAGCGAAAGAGAGAGGCAAGAGAGATGAAGAGAGCGAGAACGAGAGACGAAGGAGGGGGGGCAGTTGGGGGGCGAATAGTTGAGGGAGAAGAGGGGAGTAGAGAGGGAGAGAGAGAGAGGGGACGAGAGAGGGGGGAGTGGCGAAAGAGAGAGGGCAGAAGAGAGAGGGGAAGAGAGGGGATGAGAGAGAGGGCGTGTGACGGGAAGTAGAGGAGGGAGAACGTAGAGAGGGGAGAGACGGGGGAGAGAGAGAAGAGGCGGAGGACGGATAAAACGGATGAGAGGGAGAAGAGACGAGGGAAGAGAGAGGAGAGAGAGAGGGGGAGAGAGAGAGGGGGAGGGGTGAAGTTAGAGAGGGAGAAGAGAGAGGGGGAGAGAGGGAAAGAGAGAGAAAGAGAGGGGGAGGGGAATACGAGAGGGAGAGAGAGGAGGGGGGGAGGAGAGAGGGAAGAGGAGAAGAGAGAGAGCAGAGAGGGGAGGGGAATAGGAGACGAGAGTAGGAGAGGGGAGAGAAGAGGGAGGGAGAGAGAGGGGGGAGAGGATCCGAGGAGAGGGAGATGAGCGGAGAGAGAGGGGAGGGGCCATAGAGAGGGAGAAAAGAGAGGGGAGAGAGAGGGCAGAGAGAGAAAGAGAGGGGGAGGGGCATAGAGAGGGAGAAGAGAGAGGGGAGAGAGAGGGCAGAGAGAGAGAGAGAGAGGGGGAGGGGCCACACCCACCATAGAGAGAGAGTGAGGAGAGAGGGGAGAGAGAGGGAAGAGATGGAGAGAGAGAGAGAGAGAGACGAGAGAGAGGGGGAGGGACATAGAGAGAGAGGGAGAGAGAGAGGGCAGAGAGAGAGAGAGAGAGAGGGGGGGAGAGGCATAGAGAGAGAGGCATAGAGAGAGGGGAGAGAGAGAGCGAGAAGAGAGAGAGAGGGGGAGGGCATAAGAGAGAGAGGAGAGAGAGAAGAGAGAGAGGAAGAAGGAGAGAGAGAGAGAACATGAGTGGGAGCACGAGGGAAAGAAGGGAGTGGATAGCTGAAGACAAAGAGAGAGGGATGAAGGGGAGGAGCTATAGTACCATAACTCAGATGAAGGGGAGGAGCTATAGTCCCATAACTCAGATGAAGGGGAGGAGATATAGTCCCATAACTCAGATGAAGGGGAGGAGATATAGTCCCATAACTCAGATGAAGGGGAGGAGCTATAGTACCATAACTCAGATGAAGGGGAGGAGCTATAGTCCCATAACTCAGATGAAGGGGAGGAGATATAGTACCATAACTCAGATGAAGGGGAGGAGATATAGTCCCATAACTCAGATGAAGGGGAGGAGCTATAGTCCCATAACTCAGATGAAGGGGAGGAGATATAGTCCCATACTCAGATGAAGGGGAGGAGATATAGTACCATAACTCAGATGAAGGGAGGAGATATAGTCCCAAACTAGATGAAGGGGAGGGATATAGTCCCATAACTCAGATGAAGGGGAGGAGCTATAGTCCCATAACTCAGATGAAGGGGAGGAGATATAGTCCCATAACTCAGATGAAGGGGAGGAGCTATAGTCCCATAACTCAGATGAAGGGGAGGAGATATAGTCCCATAACTCAGATGAAGGGGAGGAGATATAGTCCATAACTCAGATGAAGGGGAGGAGATATAGTCCCATAACTCAGATGAAGGGGAGGAGATATAGTCCCATAACTCAGATGAAGGGGAGGAGATATAGTCCCATAACTCAGATGAAGGGGAGGAGATATAGTCCCATAACTCAGATGAAGGGGAGGAGATATAGTCCCATAACTCAGATGAAGGGGAGGAGCTATAGTACCATAACTCAGATGAAGGGGAGGAGCTATAGTCCCATAACTCAGATGAAGGGGAGGAGCTATAGTACCATAACTCAGATGAAGGGGAGGAGCTATAGTACCATAACTCAGATGAAGGGGAGGAGATATAGTCCCACTGAGAGGCAAGAGAGTGGTGAGAAGGAAAAGTACCCATTCATCATGCTACTGATGAATTTTAGCAGCAGCAACTAACGACGGCAACACACTCCCCTTGTCTATTACACTCATAAACCAACACAAAACATTAACAAAACATAACATATGAACATGTAACCCTTTGTAAAAGAAAAGGGATCAAATGTCATGTGTATATCATCACACAGTTTACCTAGTAACCTCGTCGTCTCCCAGCATGCTCTTGGGGATGGGTGAGTAGCGCCCAGGCGTGGCGGGGGTATGGGGCCGGCTCAGGTAGTTGGAAGGGCTGATATGGTTGTCCATGTGAGGGGAATACGCTAAAGAAATAACACACACACGCAACCTGTATCAATATAATGGGTCTCCGCCTCAGTGTGTAGATAGATAGCGAGTTAGCATTAGCGGCTAATGCTAAGATAAACTATAAATGATAAAATGCTGCTTAGTGAGGGAGGAGCTAGGCTAGGCTAATAGCTCACTTCACCTTGAGCCCTCCCTGGTGTAGACAGACATAGGCAGAGCAGGATACTATAAAACACATGCTTTATGGCTCCCCTGACAGGGGGAGGTAATCTCCTTAAATGAAGACGACCTTCAGCAATGGCACAAGCACCAGAACAGAACTATCAATAACATTGTCCATGTGAAATACTGGAGCGTTCTGCCTGGCACTAAACAGGGCTGGCCCATAGGCAATATGGAACGTTCTGCCTGGCACTAAACAGGGCTGGCCCATAGGCAATATGGAACGTTCTGCCTGGCGCTGGACAGGGCTGGCCCATAGGCAATATGGAACGTTCTGCCTGGCACTAAACAGGGCTGGCCCATAGGCAACATGGAACGTTCCTCCTGGCACTGGACAGGGCTGGCCCATAGGCAACATGGAACGTTCCGCCTGGCACTAAACAGGGCTGGCCCATAGGCAATATGGAGCGTTCTGCCTGGCACTGGACAGGGCTGGCCCATAGGCAATATGGAGCGTTCTGCCTGGCACTGGACAGGGCTGGCCCATAGGCAACATGGAGCGTTCTGCGGCACTGGCAGGGCCGGCCCATAGGCAACATGGAGCGTTCTGCCTGGCACTGGACAGGGCTGGCCCATAGGCAATATGGAACGTTCCTCCTGGCACTGGACAGGGCTGGCCCATAGGCAACATGGAACGTTCCTCCTGGCACTGGACAGGGCTGGCCCATAGGCAATATGGACGTTCTGCCTGGCACTGGACAGGGCTGGCCCATAGGCAACATGGAACGTTCTGCCTGGCACTGGACAGGGCTGGCCCATAGGCAATATGGAACGTTCCTCCTGGCACTGGACAGGGCTGGCCCATAGGCAATATGGAACGTTCCGCCTGGCACTGGACAGGGCTGGCCCATAGGCAACATTGCAAGACTGATGTGAGCTACTAAGAAATAGGGAATAATATTTTATAATATTATAATAATATAAAATATGATTTAATAGGTATATTAAAGCAATGCTTTTAGTTTATTGAAGTGAGAAAAGTGTCCTGAAACGTGAACAGTGATTAAAACCAATGTTTTCCACCAATGTCACATTTCTTCAGTGTGCAGACAGACATGAGGACGCCCACGGTATATTCAGCTACTGTCAGGGGGGACAGACATGAGGACGCCCACGGTATATTCAGCTACTGTCAGGGGGGACAGACATTCACCCTGCTTCTGACGGGAACACGTCCTCCTTCATAATACAGTGAGGGAAAAAGTATTTGATCCCCTGCTGATTTTGTATGTTTGCCCAATGACAAAGACATGATCAGTCTATAATTTTAATGGTAGGTTTATTTGAACAGTGAGCGACAGAATAACAACAAAAAAATCCAGAAAAACGCATGTCAAAAATGTTATAAATTGATTTGCATTTTAATGAGGGAAATAAGTATTTGACCCCTCTGCAAAACATAACTTAGTACTTGGTGGCAAAACCCTTGTTGGCAATCACAGAGGTCAGACGATTCTTGTAGTTGGCCACCAGGTTTGCACACATCTTGTAGTTGGCCACCAGGTTTGCGCACAGGAGGGATTTTGTCCCACTCCTCTTTGCAGATCTTCTCCAAGTCATTAAGGTTTCGAGGCTGACGTTTGGCAACTCGAACCTTCAGCTCCCTCCACAGATTTTTCTATGGGATTAAGGTCTGGAGACTGGCTAGGCCACTCCAGGACCTTAATGTGCTTCTTCTTGAGCCACTCCTTTGTTGCCTTGGCCGTGTGTTTTGGGTCATTTTCATGCTGGAATACCCATCCACGACCCATTTTCAATGCCCTGGCTGAGGGAAGGAGGTTCTCACCCAAGATTTGACAGTACATGGCCCCGTCCATCGTCCCTTTGATGCGGTGAAGTTGTCCCCTTAGCAGAAAACCCCCCCCAAATCATAATGTTTCCACCTCCATGTTTGACATTTACATTTACGTCATTTAGCAGACGCTCTTATCCAGAGCGACTTACAAATTGGTGCATTCACCTTATAGCCAGTGGGATAACCACTTTACAATATGTTTTTTGTTGTTGTTGGGGGGGGGGGGGGGGTAAGGGGGGGTAGAAGGATTACTTTATCCTATCCCAGGTATTCCTTAAAGAGGTGGGGTTTCAAGTATCTCCGGAAGGTGGTGAGTGACTCCGCTGTCCTGGCGTCGTGAGGGAGCAATCAATCAATCAGTGGGGATGGTGGGGATGGTGTTCTTGGGGTCATAGGCAGCATTCCTCCTCCTCCAAACACGTCGAGTTGAGTTGATGCCAAAGAGCTCGATTTTGGTCTCATCTGACCACAACACTTTCACCCAGTTCTCCTCTGAATCATTCAGATGTTCATTGGCAAACTTCAGACGGGCATGTATATGTGCTTTCTTGAGCAGGGGGACCTTGCGGGCGCTGTAGGATTTCAGTCCTTCACGGCGTAGTGTGTTACCAATTGTTTTCTTGGTGACTATGGTCCTAGCTGCCTTGAGATCATTGACAAGATCCTCCCGTGTAGTTCTGGGCTGATTCCTCACCGTTCTCATGATCATTGCAACTCCACGAGGTGAGATCTTGCATGGAGCCCCAGGCCGAGGGAGATTGACAGTTATTTTGTGTTTCTTCCATTTGCGAATAATCACACCAACTGTTGTCACCTTCTCACCAAGCTGCTTGGCGATGGTCTTGTAACCCATTCCAGCCTTGTGTAGGTCTACAATCTTGTCCCTGACATCCTTGGAGAGCTCTTTGGTCTTGGCCATGGTGGAGAGTTTGGAATCTAATTGATTGATTGCTTCTGTGGACAGGTGTCTTTTATACAGGTAACAAACTGAGATTAGGAGCACTCCATTTAAGAGTGTGCTCCTAATCTCAGCTCATTACCTGTATAAAAGACACCTGGGAGCCAGAAATCTTTCTGATTGAGAGGGGGTCAAATACTTATTTCCCTCATTAAAATGCAAATCAATTTATAACATTTTTGACATGCGTTTTTCTGGATTTATTTGTTGTTATTCTGTCTCTCACTGTTCAAATAAACATACCATTACAATTATAGACTGATCATTTCTTTGTCAGTGGGCAAACGTACAAAATCAGCAGGGGATCAAATACTTTTTTCCCTCACTGTAAGTCTGGCTCAGATTAGGCTTACTACTGTAAACTCTATTCTAACGCCTCTTGGTCCAGATATAGGCCCACTGTACATTCTCCCTCCCCACTAACTCACTGTACCCACTGGATTACTACTGTAGCTATTGGGGGCAGCAGCCAGCGACATGCTGTGTCTGGGTGGCCTTAAATGATTCCATTAGTCTTTGTCCTATATTCCTCTCAGACCCACTGATACATGACCTGTCATAATACTGACCCTTCAAACAGGATTTCTAGAATAATAAACTGGGTCACTAGCAAATAAGCATTTAGCCCTTTTTGATGGGATGCTAGTGGTTATCTATGGTAACACACAGGGAAGCTAATAATGAGCATTTTAGCCCTTTTTGATGGGATGCTACTGGTTTCTATGGTAACACACAGGGTTGCTAGCATTTAGCATGCATCTGTTTGGGAAGCTAGAGATATTATGTTTTCATTGATTAGCTTCAGTCTGTAGTTCTGGGAAGCTGTGGATCGATGGTAGCAGCCCTCCACACGGGTGCCTTCACATAACCGGTGACACGTTCAGTAGCCAAACGTTGTTGAACGTTGCAGAATAGAGCCGACCTGATTCCATATTGTAGGCTACATGTCAGAAAAGCATGTTAATTCTACATCGTATATTAGGATCTGAACGTAACAAAACGTTGCATCCTGATGAACACTCCCCTGCTATCACAGCTACCCTGGGATAATTGGAAACATTGGGATAACCATGTGTGTGTACTTGAATATGTGTGCAGTATGTGTGTGTGTGTGTGTGTGTACTTGAATATGTGTGCAGTATGTGTGTGTGTGTGTGTACTTGAATATGTGTGCAGTAGGTGTGTGTGTGTGTGTGTGTGTGTGTGTACTTGAATATGTGTGGAGTATGTGTGTGTGTGTACTTGAATCTGTGTGGAGTATGTGTGTGTGTGTGTGTGTGTGTGTATACTTGAATATGTGTGGAGTATGTGTGTGTGTGTACTTGAATCTGTGTGGAGTATGTGTGTGTGTGTGTGTATACTTGAATCTGTGTGGAGTATGTGTGTGTGTACTCACAGTTAGTGATGTCGGGGGGAGCGAAACTGTCGTTCATGAAGACACTGGTGGGTTTCGCCACTTTCAAGTAAACCACATCGGGGGTGTTTTTCAAGGCCGCCACGGCATCCTCGTGACTCACCTCTTCAAGGCAAGCGCTGTTTACCTGGAGGGAGAGGGAGGTAGTCAGTTGGCTCATCAGTTGGTTACATACAGTAGCAGACATGGCAGGCAAACAAACTGTCATTGATTTCAACAAGCCACAACCTAACTTAATCGAAGTCAAGTACTTCAAGGAATGTTTTAAGTGAAGGGTTTGTTAAGTTAGCTATTGTATCAGGTATGTAGGTAAGGCAATAGTGTCCTGACCTGAGCGAGTCAACGGTAAATGTGAAACGGTATGGTACCTATGACACTGTGTCATCAAACCAACCAACAGTCTTTCTTGCCCTCATTATGAATAACATGTTAAGCAATTGTACAATTCCTAACTATCCGAATATTCTATTTTCTCAATAGTGTAAAAGAATGTCTACTTTTGGGGGGAATGTTCATAGCCAGGGGTGGTAATATCTCTATTTGAATTAAAGGGAAAGTCTCTTTATGTGTAATTTGGATCAGGAGAGTCGATGGGAATCAGTCTCTACTGTGGCATTATTGACAAAGACCTCACAATTACCTTTAAGATGATTAGAGGAACTTTGAAAGACTGTCCTGACAATCCTCCAGAAACATCCCGTTATATCTCACTGTGATATTTAATGGGATGTTTCTGGAGGATTGTCACATGACACACTGTCAGACAGGCATGGAGATAACATAGCTAATGCCGAACTGTATCTGCCAGAGAGACGAGGACATGGTGAGCCTTCACACAAATAACCAACCCATAATGTGATACTGCTGTACCTACAAACCAATCAAGTTGACTTGACCCAGTGGAAAGCAATGTTTCATTAAATTCAGTTGAATTCAATATATGCAATATGGGCAGTACTAGCAAAATGAGCACACCCACTGGGCACAAACTGGTTGAATCGATGTTGTTTCAAAGTAATGTAAAAAAAAAATATATATATATATATAGCAATGTGATGACGTTATAATAATAATATGCCATTTAGCAGACGCTTTTATCCAAAGCGACTTACAGTCGTGCGTGCATACATTTTTGTGTATGGGTGGTCCCGGGGATCGAACCCACTACCTTGGCGTTACAAGCGCCGTGCTCTACCAGCTGAGCTACAGAGGACCACGTTGAATCAATGTGGAAAACTGATTGGATTCGCAAAAAGTCATCAATGTAAAGGAACTTTGGGAATTTGTGTCTTTTTTTCACCCACTTTTATAATAAAAATATAATATGTAATTTAGCAGACACTTTTTTCCAAAGTGACTTACAGTCATGCATGCATACATTTTACGTAAGGGAATCAACGCCATGCTCTACCACCAACGCTACAAAGGACTACAACTTTAAAACTAAATCCAATGTCATGGTTCAAATTGTTGTTGATTTCAGGTCCAATTCACGTTAGTCAACAACTCAATCAAATGTAAATCAAAACTAGACGTTGATGTGATGTCAGTGCCCAGTGGGAAGTCTTTCAGTTAGTAGATGTCACTACATTGTTATGTTCTTACAGCCAATAGTTTGTCTCCAATCTGCAGCCTCTGGTCTTTGTGTGCAGCCCCTCCCTCGATGACCTTGGTGACATAGATGCTGTTGTCTCCTGGAATGTGCTGGTTCCCTACTCCCCCTGCAATACTGAATCCTAAACCTGGAGGGAGGGAGGGAGGGAGGGACAGGGAAAGAGGGACAGAGAGAAGAGAGAGAAAGGAGAAAGAGAAGGGTAGAGAGAGAGAGGGAGGGAGGGAGAGAGAGAAGGGGAGGGAGGGAAGCTCGTTACAACACAATAAAACAGTGTAAATATAATAATAATTACTGTATTAATCCCCTCAGGGGTCATTCAGAGCAGTGGCTCCCAAACTTTTTCACTCGGGCCCCCCTTCGATCATTTAGGTTTAAAGATTATTTCCTGCAATTCTATACATTTTGCCATGGGGTGCAGATTTAAATTTTTTATTTAAAGCTAATATCCTACAATTCTACATATTTTGCCATGGGGTGGAGTGAACATTTAGCGGTTTTAAAGCAAACGTCCTGCTATTCTACACATTTTGCCATGTACTATGTGTGTTCATGTGATATCTGAGTGACTCAAACATTACAAAGAAATGGTAACTGACATCCCACTGGGCAAAAACTGTTGAATCAACGTTGTTTCCACATCATTTCAACAAAAAATGTGATGACGTTGAATCAACGTGGAAAACTGATTGGATTTGAAGAAAGGCAATTTCTTCTTTTTTTTTTTTTTTACCCAACTGTTAACCTAAATCAAATGACATGGTGACAGTTTTGGTTGATTTCAAGTTGAATTCACGTCAGTTGACAACTCAACCAAATGTAAACCAAAACTTGATTTTAAAATTAGGTCTGTGCCCAGTGGGAGGGTTAGTTGATCTGGGCACGGTTCCCATAGCGATGGAACTTAGGCTTACGAGTGTTTTAACAATGCATCTTTCCTACAAGATGTAACATGTTTCCCAAAACACCACACAGAGAGAACGGGTCGCTAAGTGCGTCGTTGGAGCATGTGTCGATACTGATAGGATTGAAAGAAAGGCAAATCTTACCTTAACATCATATAATTATTCCACAATACTGACGATGGATCAGCTCATAGAGAGATATTAGCACCTATGGCTGCAAATATTGAAGCAGCTTCTTCTAATTCTTACCCTATAATAATGTACTAAATCAAGATGTGGCACATCAATGCAGACATGTTAGGCTACACATCATTAAATATATCGAGGCAAAATGTACAGACGGTAGCCAAATAAAACAAAATTGAATGAACATGACATTTATTTCAATATCATTGAAATATATAGGCCTATGTAGTCTATACTGTAGGTAGGCTATTCATATTTTAATGCAGTCATCTTGGTTTTCATTTGAAGCATATTTTTATCCTTCGCTTGTTTGTAACAATTGCAAAGACATTTGCAACTTTGTATTTGTAGTCAACTTCGTTGTGAAGTTATCGGCGGTCACAGAGAGACAGATAAACATCTTGATTCTATGTTTAGTGGAGGTCTTCTGTGTACAAAGTGACGTGGTAGGGGAAAAAAACGCATCTAACAACGCACTTAGCTGTTCTATGAGTGCTCTGAGGCAGTCGGTAAACAGGTGCAACTTCAGTAAAGACGGTTTTGGCAAACAGCTCTGAGATTTAACGATGCTCCTACGAAGGTTCTAATGATGAACTTAGCCTTAAGATGCTTTTGCGAAACCGGGCCCTAGACATTTCTGGCAAGTTATAAATAGCTGTCTAAGATCTGCCAGTGACTGACATAACAAGATTAAAACTGCTGATGCACAACCCAATTTAGAAATTGCACCTTGTGCATTCTACTATTACAATTGGAACCAATATACACAAGCAGTCAGGAAAGCAAAGGCTAACTTTTTCAAACAGAAATTTGCGTCCTGTAGCACTAACTCCAAAAAGTTTTGGGACACTGTAAAGTCCATGGAGAATAAGAGCACTTCCTCCCAGCTGCCCACTGCACTGAGGCTAGGAAACACTATCACCACCGATAAATCTACAATAATCGAGAATTTCAACAAGCATTTTGCTACAGCTGGCCATGCTTTCCATCTGGCTACCACTACCCCGGCCACCAACTCTGCACCCTCTGCTGCAACTTGCCCATGCCCCCCCCGCTTCTCCTTCACACAAATTCAGACAACTGATGTTTTGAAAGCGCTGCAAAATATGGACCCCTACAAATCAGCTGGGCTAGACAATCTGGACCCTTTCTTTCTAAAACTAGCAGCCAAAATTGTCGCAACCCCTATTACTAGTCTGTTCAACCTCTCTTTCATAACGTCTGAGATCCCCAGAGATTGGAAAGCTGCCGCGGTCATCCCCCTCTTCAAAGGGGGTGACACTCTAGATCCAAACTGCTACAGACCTATATCCATCCTGCCCTGCCTTTCGAAAGTATTTGAAAGCCAAGTTAACAAACAGATCACCGACCATTTCGAATACCACCGTACCTTCTCCGCTATGCAATCCGGTTTCCGAGCTGGTCATGGGTGCACTTCAGCCACGCTCAAGGTCCTAAACGATATTATAACCGCGATTGATAATAGACAGTACTGTGCAGCCGTCTTCATCGACCTGGCCAAGGCTTTCGACTCTGTCAACCACCACATTCTTATTGGCAGACTAAATAGCCTTGGTTTCTCAAATGACTGCCTCGCCTGGTTCACCAACTACTTCTCAGATAGAGTTCAGTGTGTCAAATCGGAGGGCCTGTTGTCTGGACCTATGGCAGTCTCTATGGGGGTGCCACAGGGTTCAATTCTTGGGCCAACACTTTTCTCCGTGTATATCAATGATGTCGCTCTTGCTGCTGGTGACTCTCAGATCCACCTCTACGCAGACGACACCATTTTGTATACATCTGGCCCTTCATTGGACACTGTGTTAACAAACCTCCAAACGAGCTTCAATGCCATACAACACTCCTTCAGTAGCCTCCAACTGCTCTTAAACACTAGTAAAACTAAATGCATGCTTTTCAATCGAACGCTGCTGGCACCCGCCCCACCCGACTAGAATCACCACTCTCGACGGGTCTGACCTAGAGTATGTGGACAACTACAAATACCTGGTTAGACTGTAAACTCAACTTCCAGACTCACATAAAGAATCTCCAATCCAAAGTTAAATCTAGAATCGGCTTCCTATTTCGCAACAAAGCCTCCTTCACTCATGCTGCCAAACATGCCCTCGTAAAACTGACTATCCTACCGATCCTTGACTTCGGCGATGTCATTTGCAAAATAGCCTCCAACACTCTACTCAGCAAATTGGATGTAGTCTATCACAGTGCCATCCGTTTTGTCTCCAAAGCCCCATACACTACCCACCACTGTGACCTGTACGCTCTTGTTGGCTGGTCCTCACTACATGTTCATCGTCAAACCCACTGGCTCCAGGCCATCTATAAATCACTGCTAGGCAAATCCCCGCCTTATCTTAGCTCATTGGTCACCATAGCAGCACCCACCCGTAGTCTGCGCTCCAGCAGGTATATCTCACTGGTCATTCCCAAAGCCAACACCTCCTTTGGCCGCCATTCCTTCCAGTTCTCTGCTGCCAATGACTGGAACGAATTGCAAAAATCTCTGAAGCTGGAGACTCTTATCTCCCTCAATAACTTTAAGCATCAGTTTGTCAGAGCACCTTACCGATCACTGCACCTGTACACAGCCCATCTGAAATTAGCCCACCCAACTACCTCATCCCTATATTGTTATTTATTTTTGCTCTTTTGCACCCCAGTATCTCTATTTGCACATAATCTCTTGCACATCTAGCATTCCAGTGTTAATACTATTGTAATTATGTTGCACTCTAGCCTATTTATTGCCTTACCTCCATAACTTGCTACATTTGCACACACTGTATATATATTTTCTGTTGTATTTTTGACTTTATGTTTTTTATCCCATATGTAACTCTGTGTTGTTTTTATTGCACTGCTATGCTTTATCTTGGCCAGGTCGCATTTGTAAATGAGAACCTGTTCTCAACTGGCTTACCTGGTTAAATAAAGGTTAAATAAAAAATATATATATATAATAATTGCGCGCCCCACAGTTTGGGAACCACTCATTCAGAGGGTATCACTAGTGGCACAACGACCACAGACAGACAATAACATGCAGCAGAAGGTTCCACATCAACTCAACACATTTAAAGTATGATGACATCACATCGCTGAGTTTAGCTTTAATCTCCACGGTGACAAACAGTCCTTTACCTTTAGGACCTTTGACTAGTTTGAGCTCCAGGATTTTCTCTGAGAGGGCTTTTCTCCTGCGGATGTAGAGCCTGACGATGCAGCCGGCCTCCTTCAGGGCCTCCACGGCCTTACTGTGGGTCACATCCCTCACGTCTGCCTCGTTCACTCTCAGGATGCAGTCATTCACTCTGCAGGAAGAATCAAATACATCAATCATTCACTCTGCAGTCAGGAAGAATCAAATACATCAATCATTCACTCTGCAGTCAGGAAGAATCAAATAGATCAATCATTCACTCTGCAGTCAGGAAGAATCAAATACATCAATCATTCACTCTGCAGTCAGGAAAAATCAAATACATCAATCATTCACTCTGCAGTCAGGAAGAATCAAATACATCAATCATTCACTCTGCAGTCAGGAAAAATCAAATACATCAATCATTCACTCTGCAGTCAGGAAGAATCAAATACATCAATCATTCACTCTGCAGTCAGGAAGAATCAAATACATCAGTCATTCAAACTCTAGCCAGGGGAATCAAAGACATCAGTAATTCACTCTGCAGCCAGGGGAATCAAATACATCAGTCATTTCCTCTGCAGCAAGAGTCAAATAAATCAAATTGTGTAATATAATTATTGTCAACCTAAAATATTGTCATATATTTATAAATACAGTTTATACAGGTTTTTCTGTATAAATAGCCTCTAAAATATATGTAAACAGACTGCTACAGGCTTTTCTTTTCTTTTATATTTTGAGGTTGGACATTAGCACGTTGGGCGCACCGATTGGTGTCACCTCATTAGTCAGTATGTTACACCTGTGCTGGCTTGTCATCTCGTTAGTCAGAAGGTGTTTCACTTGTCTGGCCCAGGTGCTATTTCCAGTGCATTCGGAAAGTATTCAGACCCCTTCACTTTTTCCACATTTTGTTACGTTACAGCCTTATTCTAAAATGTATTAAAAATTAATGTTTTTCCTCATCAATCTACACACAACACCCCAATAATGACAAAGCGGAAACAGGTTTTTAGAAATTGTTTTTAATTTTGCTCCACATTTTGCTCCACTTTTTGGTTTGCTACCTCTTTAAGTTTGGTGTGGGTTTTAATTATTGGGCAAATTTAGTGGGTGCTCATGGTGGGCGTCTTTTAGGTCCCAGTTGTTGTTGCTAGTCAACTTTCAGCGGACACCCCCATGAGTGTCTTTCAGAACCCCTCCTAGAACCCCACCTGTTTAGTTGTGGTTGTTGTTAGTGAGTCTTTGTTAGTTTCCCCTTCTGTTTGAGCTTAGTGAGTCTTTGTTAGTTTCCCCTTCTGTTTGAGCTTAGTGAGTCTTTGTTAGTTTCCCCTTCTGTTTGAGCGACGCTTTTTGGTTTCTTGCTGGGGAACGTAACACCGACCATAAAAACCTCAATTTCTGTTTTCTTGGAAAGCTGTGAGTGTTATTATATGATACAATATCAGTACTTGTTGCATTTACAACTTGTCTAAGCCCTATCATCAACTGATTTCAGCCAGTGTATGGCTGTTTGAATGGAATGTTGGCATATTGGCTAGTTCATTTGAAAAATGAATATTCCGAGTCAATATTCACGTAATAATAAGGAATTCCCCTTGACCACACCTACAAATTGGGTAAAACAAACATTCTTTCCTATTGACTCCAACTGTAAAAAAGCCAACTTTGTCGTTGATTTTTAGTTAGCAGGTTTGACAGGTTTGGTTATTTCTGTTCGTGTTGTTCAATGTACATCCAGGTCAAAAATCCCAACCTACGGATCGCAATGCTCCCACGTAGGGAAATAGAGCCTGCGGTTCCCAATGCTCCCACGTAGGGAAATAGAGCCTGCGGTTCCCAATGCTCCCACGTAGGGAAATAGAGCCTGCGGTTCCCAATGCTCCCACGTAGGGAAATAGAGCCTGCGGTTCACAATGCTCCCACGTAGGGAAATAGAGCCTGCGTGAAGAGCCCTGTGGCTTCAGGATATTTGCCGTGGGAGAGTGGGAAATTGTTGGGACCCATTGTCCAGGTAGGCTACACGAAGCTATGTGTGTGGAAAACATTGAATCACAGGTTAAGACGTTTAACTTGTTTAGTGTAGCCTGTTTGTAACCCCACTCACTACTCGCTGTATAGTCTGTTTGTGTTGTTGGTCTTGGCTAGCTAAAATACGTACAAACTGAGTACACATTCGAGAAGTGCCCTCCGTGCTCCGTTTCGCATACTTTGATTTGGACTCATACTCCGACCCTCCCGTGCTCCAATTTGCGTGCTCGGAGCACGGTAGTACGCATTTTGAGAAACACCCAACATGTTTTTGTCTACTTGCACGAACGCACACGTACGCACGTGGCTGCTAGCACCGTGATGAAAAGGGGCATGGGGGAAGCCCTACAATATAAAGTAGTGAGAACGCTCTGGAGCAGGCAATGTTGAAAAGTCATCTTTAGACATGTACTTATCTTAAATGTAGTTTTGTAATTGACTAAAAAAAAGCAAACAAGAAAATTGGGTTTAAAAAAGGTTGTTTTTGCTGTGAGCAAATGGGGCAACCACAGGTTGTTTCCCCCCACAAGGGGGGCAGGGCCCCCGACATTCCATTTAATACCGACTGGGACTTTGGAATCATTCCTCTAAAACTGTCTGGCTAGTTAGCTAACAAACATACAGTGCAGATAAATTCACAATATCTTATCACAGCAGTAGCAAATCAATGGTTGACCAACTCCCTGACCAAAATGGCTGACCTTTATCCCATCATAAGAAGGTTCATGTCCACTCTAGTATTCTAATTCCTAATTCTATGATGGCGGAGCCCACCTGAGGCGTTCGTCCTGAGCTGCAGCTCCCCCGGGGATAATCTTGGTGATGAAGATGCTGGGGTCTTCGCCGATGTGGGGGTTATCTGTCCCCCCCGCAATACTGAAGCCCAACCCAGAGTTACCCTACACAGAGGGGCAGAAGCGAGAAATGGATTTGGTTCAGATCAACTGTTATGTCATATAAAGCCATATTTTCAACATACAATATGTAGATGCACTGCAATGCTATCATGATGTGCTTACAGTATAGCATTAAGTGTACTGTTTAGTTAATTAAAATAAAATTATAAAATATTCCATAATTTCTATTCATAATTTGATCCTGCTGTATAGCATTATGAGTACATTCCCACTTCAAATACTGAAACAATCAGGCTGTATTACACTGAGTATATTATCCGCTATAGTTACGACCAACTTCATTGTAAATGTCTGTGTATGGCTGGGGGGGGGGGTTATATGTGCAATGGGAGCTATGTATGGTTGGAGGGAAGTGGTAGTGTAGAGTAGTGTGTATTATAGGGCAGTAGAATAGGGCCAGGGCCCAACTCCATAGACTAAACTAAGGTTCGGTGTGTGGTTGTGGTTTGGGGCGGTGTGCGTCTCTGTGACAGAATAGAGTGCATTGTGTCTTAATGCTAGAGTTAGTGATGCAAACGCAGATCGTGGCTGAATCAGGTCACGGCAGAAAGAGGAGAGAGACGAGAGCCCTGCAGCTACAGGCAGGCACAGAAACAGTTTCCTCTCTGTCTCCTCTCCCTCCTTCTCTCCCTGCTCCCCCTCTCCCTACTTCTCTCCCTGCTCCCCCTCTCTACCCCCTCCTCCGTCTACTCCCCCTCTCTCTCCTTCTCTTCCTACTCCCCCTCTCTCCTCCTTCTACCTGCTCCCCCTTTCTCTCCTTCTCTTCCCTCTCCCCTACTTCCCCCTCTCTCCTCCTTCTACCCTGCCTCCCCCCCCTCCTTTCTCTCTTCTCTCTCCTTGCTCCCCCCATCTACCCCTCTCTCCCTCCCCCTTTTCCATCTCTCCTCCCTTCCTATCTCCTTTCTCCCCCTACTCTCTCTCCTCCCCTTCCTCTCCCTGCTCCCCCACCCCTACCTACTCCCCTACCTCCCTCCTCCCCTTTCTCATCCTCCATCTGCTCCCACCTTTATCCTCTCCCTCTTCTCCGCTACCCCTCTCCCTTCCTTCTCCTCTTCTCTCTCCTTCTCCTCCCACTCTCTCCTCTCCCTCCCTTCCCCCCTCTACCTCCTCCTCCCCTTCTCTCCATCCTCCCTGCTCCCTTCTCCTACCTTCCTTCCCCTCTCCCTTCTCACTCCCTCTATCTCCTGCTCTCACTCTCTCGTCCTTCTTCTCCCCTCTACTCCTCCTCTCTCACTGCTCCCACCTCCCTCTCCTCCTCATCCTCCTCCCACCTCTCTCCTTCTCATCCCTCTCTCTCCTCTCTCTCCTCTGCTCCCACCTTCTAACACCTCCTCTGCCTCCCCTCCCTCCCTCTCTCCTCCTTCTCCCCTCTCTCTCCTTCCCCTCCTCTCCCTGCTCCCCCTCTAAACCCCCCCTTTCGTCTCCCCCCTCCTCCTCCCCCCCTCCTCCTCTCTCCCTCCTCTCTCCTGCCTCTCCCCTTCCTTCTCCCCCCTCTCTCTCTGCTCTCCCCCCTCTCTCTGCTCTCCCCTCCTCTTCTCTTCTCCTCCTCCTCTGCTCTCCCTCCTCTCTCTCTGCTCCCTCCTCTCTCTCTGCTCTCCTCCTCTCTCTTTTCTCCCTCCTCCTCTCTGCTCTCTCCTCCCTCCTCTCTCTTGCTCTCCCTCCTCCTCTCTCTTCTCTCTCTCCCTCCTCTTCTCTCTTCATCCCTCGTATCTCTCTTCTCTCCCTCCTCTCTCTTCTCTCCCTTCTCTCTCTTCTCTCCCTCCTCTCTCTCGTTCTCTCTCCTCCCTTTCCTCTCTTCACTCTCCTCACTCCTCTCTCTCTTCTTCTCCCTCCTCTCTCTCTGCTCTCCCTCCTCTCTCTCTGCTCTCCCTCCTCTCTCTCTGCTCTCCCTCTTCTCTCTCTGTTCCCCCTCCTTCTCTCCCTCCTCTATGACACACAGCTTTACATCATATAGTAAGACAGAGCCCTGACCACTATGGAAAGGGATTTTGATAGCTAAGAGAAAATATAAATGAAATATCTTGCATGGTTTTAACCTTTTAAATGTACATCTTTATTCACATTTTAACATTTAGATTCAAATTGAAACCTTCAATTTATTTGAAACCTTAAATTTACATAGAAAACGTAAGAGTTTAGAAGCACCTATCTCATGGAAACGAGAACCATGGTTTAAACTGAGATGTGATGTTCCTCTTACTTACCCGTTCCAGTGTGATCTCCTCATACTCATAATCTGCTTCAGATCCATTCGCCTGAAAGACAACACACAAGACATCAGCCAATCAATCATCGGGAAATCATAAGAGAGCTGTCTCCATTGGCCTATACTGGAAAGATGGACATGAGATCATTGAAAGATCAAACTTCTCTCCCACTGGATGTCTCATTTTGATGGCCTATTCCTCCTCAACACCCAAAATGGAGGAGTTAAAGAAAGAGATGTGAGGGACTATACTGTAGCTACAACAAACAGTGGTTGTGTGAGATCAGAGCAGACCTTCCCCCCCTCAGTAGCAGCCTTATGAAGGGCAGAGCAGGCTGGCTATCAATGTGAAATCCCCTCTGCTCTGTGGGGAATACTGCAGCAATGTGCAGCAGGCAGGGAGGCAGCAGGGCTTTCTGAGTAGAGCACAGCGCTAATGCTGTCGTCTTGTGTGGCGCGAGGGGATAATCTCCACAGGATTAGAGGTGATAGGCGTGTTGGGAGAGAGAGGACAACAGCAGGACTGCTCTGTCCCCGCCAGACACATACAGTACCATAACCACCAGTGATGGAGTGGTAATTTTTTTTTTTTTAAGTGGGTAAACTATAAACTCTAGTTGGTGATTGAGCTAATACGAACAACCACTGATATAAACCAGGTCTATAGGGAAGGCCCAATGTAATTTTATGTACAAAATGACACAAAATGCACATCAGATCATCCCTCCCAAAATAGTTAATTTGGACTGGACACTTTAAAATCACGTTCATGTTCTTTCACACAAAACAGTTTTAAAAATAGATTTTTATATACAGTTGAAGTCGGAAGTTTACATACACCTTAGCCAAATACATTTAAACTCAGTTTTTATTTCTGTCATCACATTCCCAGTGGGTCAGAAGTTTACATACACTCAATTAGTATTTGGTAGCATTGCCTTTAAATTGTTTAACTTGGGTCAAACGTTTCGGGTAGCCTTCCACAAGCTTCCCACAATAAGTTGGGTGATTTTGGCCCATTCCTCCTGACAGAGCTGGTGTAACTGAGTCAGGTTTGTAGGCCTCCTTGCTCGCACACGCTTTTTCAGTTCTGCCCACACATTTTCTATAGGATTGAGGTCAGGGCTTTGTGATGGCCACTCCAATACCTTGACTTTGTTGTCCTTAAGCCATTTTGTCACAACTTTGGAAGTATGCTTGGGGTCATTGTCCATTTGGAAGACCCATTTGCGACCAAACTTTAACTTCCTGACTGATGTCTTGAGATGTTGCTTCAATATATCCACCTAATTTTCCTGATGCCATCTATTTTGTGAAGTGCACCAGTCCCTCCTGCAGCAAAGCACCCCCACAGCATGATGCTGTCCACCCCCGCGCTTCACGGTTGGGATGGTGTTCTTCGGCTTGCAAGCTATCCCCTTTTTCCTCCAAACATAACGATGGTCATTATGGCCAAACAGTTCTATTTCTGTTTCATCAGACCAGAGGACATTTCTCCAAAAAGTACGATCTTTGTCCCCATGTGCAGTTGCAAACCGTAGTCTGGCTTTTTAATGGCGGTTTTGGAGCAGTGGCTTCTTCCTTGCTGAGCGGCCTTTCAGGTAACGTCGATATAGGACTCGTTTTACTGTGGACATAGATACTTTTTACCTGTTTCCTCCAGCATCTTCACAAGGTCCTTTGCTGTTGTTCTGGGATTGATTTGCACTTTTCGCACCAAAGTAAGGATGAACCAGTCTTGTGGATGTGTACAATTTTTTTTCTGAGGTCTTGGCTGATTTCTTTTGATTTTCCCATGATTTCAAGCAAAGAGGCACTGAGTTTGAAGGTAGGCCTTGAAATACATCCACAGGTACACCTCCAATTGACTCAAATGATGTCAATTAGCCTATCAGAAGCTTCTAAAGCAGTGAATTATAAATTAAATAATCTGTCTGTAAACAATTGTTGGAAAAATTTATTGTGTCATGCACAAAGCAGATGTCCTAACCGACTTGCCAAAACTATAGTTTGCTAACAAGAAATTAGTGGAGTGGTTGAAAAATGAGTTTTAATGACTCCAACCTAAGTGTAAACTTCAGACTTCAACTGTACATTGCCTTCAGAAAGTATTCATACTCCTTCACTTCTTCCACATTTTGTTGTTACAGCCTGAATTCAAAATTGATTAAATATATCACCTCTGGCAGCGATTACAGCTGTAAGTCTTTCTGGGTAAGTCTCTAAGAGCTTGTACAATATTGTATTTGCCCATTATTCTTTTAAAGATTCTTCAAGCTCTGTCAAGTTGGCTGTTGATCATTGCTAGACAGCCATTTTCAAGTCTTGCCATAGATTTTTAAGCCAATTTAAGTCAAAACTGTAACTAGGCCACTCGGGAACATTCAATGTTGTCTTGGTAAGCAACTCCAGTGTAGATTTGGCGTTGTGTTTTAGGTTATTGTCCTGCTGAAAGGTGAATTAGTCTCCCGGTGTCTGTTAGAAAGCAGACTGAACCAGGTTTTCCTCTAGGATTTTGCCTGTGCTTCGCTCTATTCCATTGATTTTCATCCTAAAAAACTCCCTAGTCCTTGCTGATGACAAGCATACCCATAACATGATGCAGCCACCACCATGCTTGAAAATATGAAGAGTGGTACTCAGTCATGTGTTGTCTTGGATTTGCCCCAAATATAACACTTTTTATTCAGGACATAAAGTTAATTTCTTTGCCAATTTTTTTGCACTTTTACTTTAGTGCCTTGTTGCAAACAGGATGCATGTTTTGGAATATTTATATTCTGTACAGGCTTCCTTCTTTTCACTCTGTCAATTAGGTTAGTATTTTGGATAGGGCTGACCCC